TTGCAGAGAGTTGTTGGTTATGCTCTTCCACAATCTATCCCTCTTCTCTCACAATGAAGAAAAAACCCAAATCAACAATACGTCACCCCCTCCTTCTATTGTCTAAACAACAATCTCTTTCTTCTCATTACCCTACATCCCCACTAAAGGAGAATATATATACGGGCTTTTACATGGGCTTTGTACATCGCTGAACCATATGAGACTTATTGGGCTCTTCACATAGGAGGGAACCAACTAGGGCCGCCTGGCCCTAAGACTCCCAAAATTTTGAGAGCCCTAGGCGAACTTTCAATACGAGGCCTTTATATATAAGGTTTCACCCGCACAAAAAATTTGTAAGAGTACAAAATTTTCATTAAAATGAACGATAAGCACCAAGATCAGCTCGAAATAATTTGGCGCGTTAGGCGAATTGTTTTTTTTAATAAAAGTGTGAATTTTTCATTAAAATAAATGATAAGCACCAAGGGCGGCTCAAAAATAATTTGGGGCCTTAAGTGAATTTTTTATTTTATTTTATAAAAGTGCGAAATTTTCATTAAAATAAACGATGAGATTCCCTTAATAATTTGGGGCCTTAATTAGGCAATATATAAAAAGTGACCTTTTAATAATATATTAATATTGGATAATATTTATTAAAAGATCATCACTCTTACTTTTGTCAAATTACTAATTAGATTATTGTATTTAAGTTTGGTTACAATATACAACTATATGAAAATATATATATATACACATAAATTTATAATAACAAAAGTTAATAAAACTAAAAAATAATTAAAGAAAAAGAACAATAGAACCCGATTTAGAAAATCCCAATCCAATGCTCCAAAATTTCTTTAATTCTTGATGAGAATGATTATTCAAAAAATGAACATTTTTTTTTTTTTATATAACAGTGGAACTGAGGCAGGGTCCTTTGGACTCACCCCTATAAGGTAAGTCACGGGGACATTAGTAAGATCCGAACACCAACTCGTAAGTAAGTCACGAACAATTCAGAAAGAATGCTGCCTTCAAGCTTTCAAAACATCTATCAATAATAATAAAAAATAAATAAACATTGTTATTTTAACGTGTCATACCAAACATGACAAAATTGAACAGTCTAATCAGTTGTTGGAACCTCAGAACAAATTATTTATTTATTTTTGTGTCCAAAACCATGGAACATGTTTGGTTCCATGGTTTGGGGCCACTAGGCACTGACACACTAAGTCAAGGTAAAGATAAAATGAAATTTAGGAAGAAAGGATTCCTAAATTACTAAATAAACATATATATATATATATACACACACACATGTATTGAAAAGGTATATGTGTTAAACCCTATAACGCGGTTCCGTTACCTACTTCTACTTTTGGTGAAAGCAAAATTATGATTATGATTTTTTAAAATTGAAATATCAACTTCAATAATAATAATTTTGTTTTATTTTCTGTTATCAAATCCTTAAAAGGCAAAATAAAAAAGAGAACGTGTTCAAAAATATGTTTTTATTTTCAAAGTTGAAAATGTTTTTATTTTTATTTTTTATTTTTGTGAAGAAAAAGGAAACATTTATTATTATTATTATTATTAATTTATGTTTACCATATGGGCATTGTTCATTCCAAATAGAAATTAGTATTATATACTAATTAATGATACCTATTAATTCTAATATTCAAATGTCAATAATAAATATTTTTAATAGATTATATAAAATTATATAATAGTTTGAATTGGTTTAGACAAAGAATTCATAATTATAATTTTTTTTTATTTATGTTATATAATAATATTAACATATTTTCACACAATAGATATTTTAGAATATTATATATCATATTTATATTATTATATTATATATTGAAATGGAATGCTCATTCTTAACTCTAGAAGAGATAATATCATTTAAACATTTATGACGTGTCTTATCAAACTTGAGAAAAGGAATGACAAGTTAGCATGTGCATTCCATAAATTATATTCCATTCCATTATAGCGTAACAAAACATTGTATAAGTTCTTAATGCTCTCTTATTCACTTGTCCATACTGAAATAGGTCCATATTTAATACCAATAGATAAATTAAAGTAACTTAAAAAGAAAAAAAAAAGTATACAAAGGTTACATATTTCTTGCAACAAATATGAGTTATTAAAAATATAATTCTTTTTGTGCTTTCAAAATTGTGACAACACCATCATGATTTTTTTTGATGACATGCTATAAGGATCGATGTTTCTAACAAGTATTCATAAAAAATAAATTTTTTTTTTTAAAAATAGAAAATTAGAAAATTACTAAATGCCCAACCCCATTACTTTATTGAATACATGTATCAATTTTTTAAAAAAATTTAAAATAATAAATATTAAACCGACCAACCATGTGAAATTTGTCCTTTTTTTTTTTTAGTATAATTTATTCTTTTTTTATTATTATTATTTAGAAGATTGGCTCAAGTGAAAATAATGTGACAATATTGAATAGTCTAACCAGTAGTTGGAACCTCAAAACAAATTTATTTATTTATTTTTGTGTCCAAAACCATGGAACACGTTTGGGGCCACTAAGGCACTATAAGACAAGGGTTGGGAGGCAAAGATGGAATAATTGTCCCACTTAACTTTGACTCCTTGGCCCAAAATGAACTCAAATAAGGTATGTTTGATTTGTAATTCTAAAAATAGTTTTCAAAAATTTTAAAAATCAACCCGCAAGCAAATAACGAACAATTCAGAAAGAATGCTGCCTTCAACCTTTCAAAGCATCTATCTATAATAATAATAAATAAATAAACATTGTTATTTTAATGTGTCCTACCAAACATGACAATATTGAATAGTCTAACCAGTCGTTGAAATCTCATAACAAATTATTTATTTCTTTTTGTGTCCAAAAGCATGGAACACGTTCCGGACTAACACACTAAGTCAAGGTAAAGATAGAATAATAATTTAGGAAGAAAGGATTCCTAAATTATTAGATAAACTTAAATATATATATATATATATATATATATATATTGAAAAGGTAAATGTGTTAAACCCTATGACGCGTTTAGTAACATAGTCCATTACTTACTTTTACTTTTGGTGAAAGCAAAATTATAATTTTTATTTTTTAAAATTGAAATATCAACTTCAATAATAATAATTTTGTTTTATTTCTGCTTTCAAATCCTTAAAAGGCAAAATAAAAAACAGAACGTGTTCGAAAATATGTTTTTATTTTTTTAAAGTTGAAAATGTTTTTTTATTTTTGTGAAGAAAAAGGAAACATCTTTTACTTTTTTTAATTATTATTATTTTTATATGTTTGCTATGTTTACCATATGGGCATTGTTCATTCCAAATAGAAATTAGTATCATATACTAATGATACCTATTATTTGTAATATTAAAATGTTAATGATAAATATTTTTAATAGATTATATAATATTATATAATAGTGTGAATGAACTTTTTAGACAAAAATATTATAATTATAATTATTTTTATTTATGTTATATAATAATATTAACATATCATCACTTAATAGATATTTTAGAGTATTATATATCATATTTATATTATTATATTATATATTGAAATGGAAGGCTCATTTTCAAGAGATATGATCATTTAAACATTTATGGGAATGATCATTTCAAAAAATGAACATTCTTATTATGATGTGTCTTATCAAACATGAGAAAGGAAATGATAAGTTAGCATGTTGCATTCCATATATTATAATGTAACAATACATCGTAGTAAGTTCTTAACGCTCTATATTATAATGTAACAATACATCGTAGTAAGTTCACTTGTCCATGCTGAAATACCAGACACGGTCCATATTTAATACCAACAGATAAGTTAAAGTAATATATACACACACACGCACACAAAGATTACATATTTCTTGCAACAAATATGACTTATTAAAAATATAATTCTTTTTGAGCTTTCAAAATTGTGACAACACCATCATGATTTTTTCGATGACATGCTATAAAGAATAGATGTTTCTAACAAGTTTTCTTAAAAAGTGATTTTTTAAAAAATACAAAATTAGAACGTTACTAAATGCCCCCAACCCCATTAAATTATTGAATACATGCGTCAATTTAAAAAAAAAAAATTTAAAATAATAAATATTAAACCGTTCATCCATAAGAAATTTGTTCAAATTTTATAAAAGTATAATTTACCTTTCTTTTTTTATTATTTAGAAGATTGACGTAAGTGAACATAGAAGTGTGACAATTGTGAATAGTCTAACCAATTTAGTCGTTGAAATCTTAAAAACAATTTTATTTATTTATTTGTCTGAAACCATGGAACACGTTTGGGGTCACTAAGGCACTACGAGGTATAAGTCAAGGTTTAATAGGTGAAGATGGAATAATTCTCCCACTTGACTTTGACTCCTTGGCCCAACATGAACTAATTTATTTTTGTGTCTAAAACCATAGAACACGTTTGGGGCCACTAAGGCATCACAAGTCAAGGTTTGGTTGGTACGTAAAGATGGAATAATTCTCCCACTTGACTTCCACTCCTTCCCCCAAAATGAATGCAAATAAGGGTATATTTGGTTTGTAATGTTGAAAATAATTTTTCAAAATTTAGAAAACATATAATAGTTTTCAGATAAGTGTAAAATACTGTTAACTAAAAACAGGTTTTTTTATATTTGAGTTTTCAGAAAACTGAACCAAGCATTAGTTTTTTTTGTACAGTTTTTTATTTTTAATTTTTCGAGGACAGAAAATTGTTTCCATAGTTATAAATAAAGTAAGCCCTAATTTTCAGAAAACAGTTTTCAAAAAACTGAATCAAACAGAATTTTTTGTACAGTCTTATATTTTCAGTTTTCTAAATTACAAACCAACGTAAAAGTTTCTTTTCCATGTACAAGCATTCAGATTTGGACTAACATGAGCATAATAAATTTAATAGAATTACTACTGATCTTGGTATGTTGTGTTAAATATAAGAGGTAGAGAGACAAAGATGTAAAACTGATATATGAATTGATATTGTATTGAATTATGTAAATGATGATACAAAGCAGGACATATAAATAGACTTTCCTATAACGGCTATACAGCCTACAACGGCTATATAATATAATGTAATTATGGTAGTATATAATATAATCTAATTATGTTAACATCCCCCTCAAACTTAAGTTGGTAGAGCATAAACCAACTTGAGTTTGGAGAGAAAATCTGGAGCGGAAGACGGTACCGGAGTTGTGAAGATCCGATACGTTGAGATGCTTAGAAGCACATGATAGACCACTTACAGCAAGTACGGCAAGTGTGGTAGCCTTGAGAGAGCTCTTGAAAGCTAATATTTGAGTGGAATCATAGAGTGGAATTTACTACTTGAGATACGCACGGATGTGTCTATTAACAGGGGCGCTCGGAAGCGTCGATTTACCAGGGGCGCTCGTGGGAGCGTCGATTACCAGGGATGCTTAGAAGCGTCGATTACAAGGCGCTTGGAAGCGCATCAAAGAGAGCCAGATCAATGCTGAGAAATTAGGCGGGCTGTACTCCGAAAACTGGAACAGGTTGGAATACACCCCCTCAAATTCTAGAGGGATACCAGGATAGAACTTGAATATGAAACTGGGCCAAGGCTGATATGAACTGGGCCAAAATACTGAACTGAACAGGGCCGAATAAACTGGACCAAAAATTTGAACTGGGCCTTTGATCTGAAAAATATGATTTGGTAGTCCAAATAAGGAAACAAAATAATTAAGGAAAAAACAATGATGCTGTGGGTGGAGCATTGTTTGGGGTCTTTTTTTTTTTTCAAAAAACGAACTGCCAGACAGATGGTTTGTTGCAATGTGTATACGTTTTGTGTGGTGTGGTGTGGCTGAGAGAGAAGAATTGGTTTAGAGAGAGACAGTGGGATGGGTGTTGACTTGTCGGCCACGGAGGTGACGGAGGGGATGGTTTGTTGGAGGGCCGAGAGAGACAGATCCGGCCGTGAGGATGAAGATGGCCGGCGAGACAGATCCGGCTGTGAGGATGGAGATGGCCGGCGAGATAGATCTGGGTCTTGGACTTGGACTTGCAGCGCGGCAAGCTTGAGGATGTTGATGGCAGTGAAGAGCCGGTGAGAACAGATCCGGCTATGGTGGATCGAGCTCGCGGCGAATCTGGCGGAGACAAGAAAAGAGCTGTGAGAACAGATCCGGCGGCTGTGTGATGAGCTTGATTTCAGCGAAGATGGCGATGACGGCTGTTGGAACGGCGGCAAGCTTGAGTTCGGGAAAGATGGAGATGACGGCTGTTGGAAATGATACAATGCGGGCGGCGTGACAGACCTGCGACGGTGCCCAGCTGAATGGTTCGGACGGTTCGCGGCACCGGCGAGGAACAGCTGGATGGTTCGGCAGTGGGCGGTGGTGAGCTTGATGACAGAGAGGAGCAGCGATGTGTTGATCGTTTGATCGGCAGTTGGCGGTGGCGATGTGTTCGGATGTGTTGATGGCGAGATTGATGGCAGAGATGTACAGGCAGTCTGGGTTGATGGAGGCGAAAGCAATGGCGAGAGAGCCGGTGTCGATTTCGGTGTCGCCGAGGTTGCTCTCGGCAGTAGCGACCAAGGATGTGACAGCGGTGAAAATGGTTTGCAAGTCCGGCAGTGCTGAGCGCCGGTAGGTGCGACTGATAAGCGGAAACAGAGGTTGGCTTAATTGAGGACCTCGGACCGGCGCCGAAGATGTGGCTTATGCCGACATCTCCGGCGGTGGCTCTAATACATGTTAAATATAAGAGGTAGAGAGACAGAGATGTAAAACTGATATATGAATTGATATTGTATTGAATTATGTAAATGATGATACAAAGCAGGACATATAAATACACGGATATACAGCCTACAACGGTTATATAATATAATGTAATTATGGTAGTATATAATATAATCTAATTATGTTAACATGTTGAAATGCTGACATAAAGAAAAATAATGGGAAACCACTAAAAGAGACCTCCACGCCTTTTCCGCCAATCCCAACAATCAAATATTAGAAACCACAAGTCTATTTCTGATATTACTGATTCATATTTGGTATGAAGTCCCACACTGAATGCTCTGTTTATCATCACTGTCTGTACACCAACTCTATTGTTTCTTTATTGAAGTTCTCGGAGTATTTGTCCTCGAGATCCTATATTTCTGCATCTTATTGTTGAAATTAACTGTGAAATATTGTATGACTTCTAGTTTATATATAGATGCTATTTTGTCTGTGTCTGTACACCAATTTATTTGCTTGTTTAGCTATTGTGCAATTTATATGCTTATTTAGCTTTTTATTAAGAAGAATTAGTATCATATGCATAACTCTTCATAATTTCTTTCATTTTTGTCTACTTGTAATCAATCATAAAGTAATTTCAACCATATGCGATAACTAAATGCCCATGGTAAAGGAATCTTATACCATCAAATTGTTCTGCTTAAAAATAAAGTTAGCTAAGTTTAGACCCTAAAAACTCGTTTTATATTTTGTATTTATTAGTTTTCATCAATAATATTTCAAAATTATCTTTGCCAAAACTTTATGAATTTGAAGTTGTTTTATTGTTCCTTAGTGTGAAGGTTCATAGCTTCTGCTTCGCAATTACTAGTCTATTTTTTTTTTTTTGGAAGAAAGTCATATGCACTTTGCTCATTTGGAGACTTAAACTCTCACCATCTACTTTGAAAGGTAAAGAAGATACCACTTATCACAATTATCAGTTTATTATCCAATGTAATTCTAGTTATGGGAAGTGATTCATGGACACAAATCTAATGTTAATTATTATAAAGTTATTTAAATAAAGTGGTTGCTTCATTGCTACTCCGGAGCGGTTTTCTCATGCTTTTTTAGAGTGAGTTATTTATTTTATGCTTATGGTTATGAATCATATACCACAATCTCCGCTACCATTTTTAGGATCCATCACACCAATGAAAGATTAGGAAAGTCGTCAGGTCACTACACAGTCTACACTCGAGTCGTGATCAAAGGACTCTTACACCAGCTAAAAAATTATACGAAGAAAAAAAAAAAAAAAACATCTTAAGTTTAACACCTCATTTTAAATTATAATGTTATTAATCCATAGTGTTTCAAGAGATGAATTGTATGCAAATTTTAAATTTTTAATACTAATTACGTAATGCAATTAATTTGATTCTTATATGAAGACTTTGGTTATTTAATTTGGTTTTGAAATTGCAATTTTTCTTTTTCCTAATAATTAAATCCCAGAATACTTTTAAGGGAGGCATCAATCCTTCATTTCCCGAATTGACATTTCGTTGTACAACTAAAATTCTTAAAAACATAGATTTTTTACTACTTTCTCACATATAATTCCTCTCAAATCATTCCATTTTTTTTTTTTTTTTAAATCTGACCATGATTTTTATTTTTTTTTTCTTTTTCCGAAGGTTAAACAGATTCACACCTCTGTACCTCCTACCTGCTGCGCTATTGCCCATTTGGAGAAGGTGACCATATTCCTTTATAAAATCTTCATCGGGCACCGTTCCATCATCTGGAGGAATCCGGATAATATCTAAGGCCGTAGTGAATGAGTGAAGTGAGGTATCATATGAGTCCGGATTCTTCTCATCGCCCTCATAAACCAGACTAACCCCTAACCGCTTCACCCAACAAAGAGTTTCTCCTATGCTCGTGTCTGTTCTTATTGTCATCTCCACTTCATCTCCGGCGTCCAATACATAATAAGAATGGAAGCCAAAAGAATTATCTTCAAGGCACCGGTTTGGTACGTAGGAGAGCCACATCTGATCTTCGAAACTTTCCGGATAGAAACTAACTGTTGGTGCACCAATTCCTCCCCTAGACTTTTTGGTTCTATTAGAAACGCAAGAGTCAAGATCGAACCAGGTTTCATCATCTTGATTGAGGCGCGCGCGGCAAGAAAGAACAGCACATAAAATAAACCCTTGTATTGTCCGACTCACTAGCTGAGGCACCCGAAAACGTATAACGTATCCCCCACTCTGGTAGTTGCACCACCTAGGAACCTCACTCCGGGGAAGAATAATATGCAACTCTTGTTCTCGCAGTACCTACATTAGACCCACGAGCTGAGGCTTAATTGGTTTCTAGTACACTACATATACGTGTATATATATATAGAGAGAGAGAGAGGGAGAGAGAGTATTGTACCTGATAACTGAGGACATTTCTTCTAAAATTATATGCAACGTTGTTGTCGACTAATTTGGGACAACGATAAAAAGACAGCAATTGATATTCTGCTGCTTTTGATTCCATTGGTATGCTTTGCAATGATGTACAATCGTTTGCCATCAATCCCGATAAATTTAGTGGAAGCGCTGGAACTGATTCAAGCAGAATACATTGGTTTACCATGAGACCCTTCAGTAGCCGAAGGCTAGTGATGGTCGTTGGCAAGTTAGAAAATTTGTTGCTGCTGAGATCCAAGACTTCCAAGGACACCAAACTACCAATTTCGCTGGGCACATTTGTTATATTGCAGTTCTCCATATATAATTCCCTCATGCTACTTGATAACTGTAACGACATAAAGCTTGATTCAGGTGACGATCGTTGAAAAAATGCTGGCCACTCTAACTTGGAGCAGCCGGACAGATCGAAATAATGGAGTGACTTCAACATAAAAATGCTCAGGGGAATCTTCTGAAGGTTCTTGCAATTCTTCAGATTCAAGATAACCAGATTTTGTAGACATCCAATAGATCGGTGAACCTCTACCAGCTTTGTACAATCATTAAGCAACAATTCCTCAAGACTTGTGAATCCCGTGAGGTCCGGAGTTTCAATCAATAAATAGGAATGACTGAGATTGAGGTATTTCAATTTGGACAAAACCTGTCAGTGACAGAAAGAGAGAATAGATTTTCAAGCATGCCATTATATATATTTAAGTAATCTGAAGAAGATGATTAAAAAATAGTAGTATCATCATACCCTTGTTTCTCTCCAAACTTGTTTGAGTTTGCTATAGCTGAAGTCAATAGCAACCAGATTATCCAAAATTAAGGCAGATGGTATACATTCTAAAGAAAATCCTTTCCAACATAGCCATACAAGTCTTCTAGAGAGATGTTTGTAGCTTCCACTTAGATGGACATAATTGAGATGAAGCACTTTCAGCCTCACCATCTCTGTAAAGACCTTCGCGTTTAGTTGTAGCTCCTCCGATTCTGGCAAGTTCAGGACCAAGCCTTGAATTGCTTTCGTCCCCTTATGATAATAAAAAGTTGCAAATATAAGTATATATATTTATATGTGTGTGTGTGTATGTATGTATGTGACATTGTGTTGAAAATAGGTTCACATCTCAGATTGTGTGACTTTCATGATGTGCTGTGTGCTAATGCATTTTTAATGTAACAAAATATGTAAATAATTTAGGCACTGGGCTCTTACTGTGTTATTTCTCAATACATCGAGAACATCTTCCTGATACCACAATCTACTACGTTCGCCTGGCTCTTCAAGAGATTCTTGGCGGACGATCTCTCTAGCCATGTCTTGAATAAGATCATGCATCACCAGCCGGTTATACCCATCAATTCTGACAAGAAAACGACGAGATAAAACCCCAATTCCAGATTCTGGAAAGAAACCGCAACCTCTTAATATTTTGATTGACAAATCTTGGTTCATTCCAACAAAAAAACATGCAATATGTAAGAATAAACCCTTTAGTTTGTCATCAAGTGAATCGAAGCTTAGCGTGAGTTTTCCTTGAACATCCTTGTGAGGAATCTTTCTCAACTTCTCCAATTCACTTCTCCATTCAAGTATGTCTCTGTTCGACAAAAGGGAACCTAAAATTTCAAGAACTAAAGGAAGTCCCTTAGAGTAACTCACTACTTCCTTAGAGAGGCTCTCATAGTCTTCTACAGGATGATCTCTCCTAAAGGCATGCCAACTGAAGAGTTGAAGAGATTCCTCCTCATTCAACTCCTCGATCTTATACACCTCATCGACTTGAAGCGAAGTTGTTGAAGACAAATCTCTAATTGTTAGTATGACTCTACTTCCGGGACGTAACAAATCACGATTTATAGCTAATGCCCTCAATTGGCGGATGTTATCCACATCATCGAGAACAAGAAGAACCTTTCGACACCATGCTCGTCGTTTTATCACCTCAATTCCATGATCCTCGCTTCTTATTGTCTGATTTCTATCCATCAGGAGATCACAGAGAAGGCTCTCTTGTAATTTAACAAGGCCGTTGGGTTGCATCGAAGTTTCTCTAACATCTCTAAGAAAGCTACTGCCTTCAAACTCACGAGTACGATGTATGCGATTAAACAACGCTTTAGCCACTGTGGTCTTACCTATTCCGCCAATCCCCCATATGGCAACAATCCTAACATCATCACTATTTGACCCCAACTTTAGAAACCCACTCAATTTTTGTACACGATAGTGTATTCCAACGGGGTAGTCCGCAACACTTAAACAGGTAGGATTTAATTTATCTGCGACTACTCCCACAACTGTCTCAATAAATGTTGACTCAGACCTGCCAATTATTTTCCCAACCGTTTAGGAGAATAAAAATATTATTAAAAAATAAATTAAACAATTTTTATATAGAGAGAGCTGAAAGATCAAAATAAATAAGTGATCAAACAGGGAATGTTTTAGATTGCCTTTATGAAGAAATGAGAGAGTACCCGTTGGCCACATTTTGCAGGACGTAGCCAGACAAATTGGCAGCCTTAGCTAGAGCTGATCTCCAATTCTTCACCGATTCCAAGTCGAAATGGTTTTCGTGATGGGCAAATGCTTGTGCATAACAACCCTTCTGTGAGCGAACATCAGAGGGTTGGACATCATAGAAGATGGGAATAACAATCTGATTGAGTGTGCTCTTGCAATCCATGATCTTGACAAGCTCGTCAAGGCACCAACTTGAGGACGCGTAGTTTTCTGAGAATACAATAACGGAAATCTTAGATTGCTCAATTGCTTTGAGCAATCCGGGACCAATTTCTTCTCCTCTTTTGAGTTTGGTGTCATCTCTGAATGTATAAAAACCATGGCGATCCAAAGCAGCCAAGAGGTGGCCGGTGAATTTCTTGCGAGAATCAACACCGCTGAAAGACAAGAATACATCGTAAAAACAGGAAGCAGCCATTTTCCAAGCTTAAACAGTTAGTTTAAATGAAAGGAATGGAAAAGAAGAGAGAAGGCTTTTGCTTGAGTGGAGCAGGGCATAGCCTTATATATATATATATATATATATATATATATCAGACAAAGAGTTCCCTGTACTCACACGGTGTGCCCTCGGTTTAAACAATCGTTGGAACAACAAAGCAAAACGGTGTCCAAAACCACAGAACACGTTTATCCAGTACGTGTGGGCCACTAGTACTCGGTTTGGTAGGTAATCATGAGAAATGATTGTCCCACTTGGTGAAAAAAAAAGAAGAAGATTGTCCCACTTCACTTCTTGCCCAAAATTTTACTTGTGCTCCTCAAAATTGTTATTTTACAAATGAATCCTTAAACATAAAAAAAATTTCCCTTCTCCCACCTCACTAAATTATTTCAAAATACTTGTTTATTAGCCCAATTTGTGCACTTAGAAATAAAATTAAATCGTGTCCTCTCAAAACTCATATAAATATTTGATTTTGACTATTTTAGCCTACTTTTGAAAATTCGAATATTTCATATCCTTGAATATACATATATAATATTTATTATATGAATTCAAAAGAGAAAAAAAAGTTTACACTAATGTCTCATATTTAATAAAAATACATTAATCTTTTTTGTTGAATGATGTTAAAAAAAATTTTTTTTAAATTGAAAATTATATGTCAATTTCCAAGTCACTGAAAAAACTAAAATATTGTAAGACCAAAGATAACAAGATTGTCAACCATAAACATACTTTAAAAAATTATAAAAAATAAATAAATAGCTAATCCAACAACAATATGCTAATATTTTTTAGTTTCCACTCGTTAATGATAAACTCCTTATACAAGTTATAGAAACATTATTGTGTTCGTTCAAGTTTGTGAAATCTTGTTTAATTAGAATTTTACATTTTATCTTTTAATATTTCATTAAAGTAATAATGACATATCTTTCTCAAAGTAGAATCAAAGGATTATTTTTCAAAGTTTGAATTTGTAAAAAATTAAAATAATTGTTGAATAAAATTTAATTTGAACAACTATTAATGTGGTACAAAAATATCTCAAGAAGTTTCCACCACTGTTAATTTCTTCTAGGTTGATCTCAGTTGTATATCCATATATATTCTTGTACCAGCGAGCTTCCCCATCAGTGCCACATTTTTTTTTTTTAACCCAACACGATAATAATATAATATCGATTGCAAATTCTTCGTGTGAACTCCAAGAAGACACTAAAAGTAAAAACTTCTCTGTAGTCTGCTTTTCCCTTTACTTTTATAAAATCATCCTGTAGTCTGGTCTGCTTTTTCCTTTACTTTATAAAGTCATCTTCCAACTTCTCACCTTTTTTTTTTTTTTATTTCACTTTAAAAAAACTTTATTAATTTTTCTTTTCTTTTGACTCGTCTTTATAATAATTTGAATACCTACCACTAGATTTAATTATATTGAGTTTGAAGTTCAGATTATAATGACAGAGAGATTCTCAGTCTGCGTTCTCATCCACGAAATTGCTAGGAATTGATGCAGAGGGAGATCATGATAATCGAATAGCATCGTATAATTGCAGCAGCCTAGAGATCAAGATAATTGAATACCATCTCGACTTCTTTTTTTATTTTTATTTTTTTCTTTATGCTTAATTGCACTTAACCCACTTTAATATATTTTCTTACACATAACTCCTTAATCATTTAGACCCATATAATTTTTCAATACTTCAAGTAGACCCTTACATTTGCAAATCTCCAATCAACTGACAATACCAAAAAAATGAATGAAATGACTAATCAGCTACCCCAAATGTCTGATCCCAAGAAATTTAATTTTCATATCTATATGCTTGAAATTTGATTCTGTTTCAAATGTTTCCTTGACTATATGACTCGGTATTATCAGAAACAGTCGTGGATAAAGTAATTGCAGAGCTAGAGTCTTGTAGGTTCCAATGTTTGATTGCTGGGATTGGCGGAAAAGGCACGGAGGTCTCTTTCAGTGATTTTTCTTGGTGTCAGCCTTATAACATTACCCATATCAGTGTCTTTCTTAAAGGATGAGCATTTCAACATTACCTGGATCAGTAATTCTCTTGCGTCAAATAATGACATGAAAATGTATACTTCTCCCACACTGCAATGCTCTGTTTATGATTACTGTCTCTACACTAACTCCATTGTTTCTTTCGAATGCTCTGTTTATGATTACTGTCTCTACACTAACTCCATTGTTACTTTCTTGAAGTTCTCGGAGTATTATTAGTACTTCTGTACTTGGCATTCTATATTTCGGTTTGAAATAACTGTGAAAATTTGTATGGCTTCTAGGTTATCTACAGCTGCTATTTTGTTATAGATGATGCTATTGTTGGGATTTATATGCCCTGGCATAGCAAATTCCTATCTGGATTATAATGGCATATGTTCCTGACATATCTGAAATATTTATGATTTATATAATTGGTGAATTCAATGTATTATTTTTCGATTCACTATGAAATTGATAGTGTCCATGTAATTACAAGAAATATTTATATATATGTATGTGATGGCAATCAATGCATGATATATAAATAGTAATTATAAATTATTCATAGTCGGCAATTATGGATGGACTCATAATTAATTAAGACTTGAACTGGATCCGCGTCAGGTTGAGATATATTGCGAGAGCCGTCGTATGCAATTACTCCCTATCACTGTCATGGCATTTGACTCTTAAGCATGAGAAAATTATAAACTCTTTTATTAATTAATAATTACTTTGATTTGTTCGGCGAATTCTTCGGAGTCCTTAGACCGACACTTTGGGTAGTTATGTAATTAATAGTTAGAATGTTATATTTTCAATATTTGCATTATTGCTACTTGTATTTATTTTGTATTGATTATGGTTGATCACAAAGTAAATTCGAAGGCCTTCGTATGTTTTTAGACAAAATGATTTATTATATATTTATTTATTAAATTATTATTTTTTTGTCAAACAAATGTTTTATTGTGATCAAGTCAGAAATAATCAAAGGTACCAAAATAAATATATTAATTAAGTAGTCGGATTGATGGCATTATTTATCCGATAACTAATTATGCATAGATGGGTCAAAGTGCAATATTGACTTAGTGGTTATTTATTATTTAATTGGAGTTCAATTAATTTCTTTTAGTGGAGTAGAAATTAATTTATGAATTAATTGAATTGGGTCCATGGACCGGGCCAATTATTAATTCATTGTAGCCAATAAAATAATAGGCTCAATGGATTCTCACTCATAGCCCAACTTGATATTGGAATCATATTAGATTTGAGACATGTGAATTAGAGATTGAGAAGGATTAGTTGTTTCCTTTTCTTTACCTTTATGTTGCCTATAAATATACATGGTCTATGTATATTTTAGGGGTGATTTTTAGTAGAAGGAAAAAGGAATATATTTTCTCTCTCTAGAAAATTAGGGTTTATGTTCTCATCTAATAGAGGCTCCCACAAGCCTAGTTTTCCAAGGTCATTCATGGAGGCTTATGAGTGATTCCTAAAGGCAAAACAATTACCAAGAAGATAGAGATCCATAGAAAAGGTGTCTAGCAAAAGGGATCTACAATAAGTGAGAACATTCACTTTAGAGGAGAGATCTAAGGTTTACTCAAACCTTGATGTAAGTATTTAATCTTTTAATTGAATGATACATCATGTTTTATTTTTGCATAAAACTTGTCTCTATGTGATGAAATAAGATTTATGAATTTAAATCCCTCGAAAAGTTTTTAAAACTAGCACGTTTCCCAACAGTGGTATCAGAGCATGGTTTGATTCATTACTAGAGATCATGTTTTTATCAAAATCATCATCATGGATCCAAATTTATATATGCATATGTTTATATTATTATATGATCATGATGTATGTATAATTGTGAATGAATGATGATGAATATTTAGGCCATGGATGAAGCTTATAGGTTATTGGAATGTAATTTTATCTTTAGATGAATGTAATTAAGGCTTTGATTTAGCCGTTTGAAAGTTCAATGATGTAATTTAATTTTTTCCATTGTATTTCAAATTGTAAATTTATTGAAAGCCATGTAATATTCATCAAAGGGTGCTATGAAGCTTCAAGAAGGTCCAAGAAGGTTAAATTAGGCTTCAGGAATTTTCTAGAGTTTTTCCGGAATTTTTCTGGAATTTTTTAGGCTTAATTTATATTTTCTGAATTTTAAAAATATTTTCTGGAATTTTCGGCGATTTTTCGGCAACCGGAGCAATGCCGGCGGCGAGGGACAGCGCCGGAAGATGGACGTATAATCCAGTGTAGCAGCACCCATGGTGCACTGAAGAGGACAGCCAATGGAAAAGCGCGTGTAGTACACGCGCTGACAAGGTTAGCATTCTGGCGCGTGAGATACACGCGCCAGACAAAGTCAACCATCCGGCGCGTGAGGAACACGCGCCGGACAAAGGAACCTTCCCCACGCGCGTGCCGGCGCGTGGCAGCGCGTGGCATGCACTGAATCATCTTTCCAACGCGTGACACGCGCTGGGACTCTCCAGAGGCGTGTAGGAGCGCGTGAATGACCTTCCAGGTGCGTTTCAAGCCTCGTTTTGCTTCTCCTAGCGCGTATCAACCTCTTGCGGGTGTTTTCATGCTGATGGAAGACCATCATGCAGTTATTAGAGCAATTAAATGTTAAAAGCTAAATCCATTGGCCATTTAAATTGCTTCTGTATGTAGTTTGATTATTTATATAATGCATGGAATAATTTAATATTGATTAATTATTATTCATGCATTGGATCCATGATATTTAATTAAATGACTTGATTTATATTAATTAAATTATGAAAATTAAGTGGATCTGATTACAAATTAATTTGAGAGCACTTATTGGGAAACGAAAAATTATTTTTGAAAATTATTTTTAAAGTGGGCTTCCAATTAAATATTAGTGAATCATTTAAAAGTCCAATTATTTTCTAAATTTAATTGGATTAAAATCAAGATGTTTTGCATGCATTATATCATGTAAATGAATAAAATGAAAACCCTAATTATGAATGATTAAAAATTGAGTGGGAGCGGGGATTTTTATACATTGCCC